TTAAAAATTGTGAATAATGAGCATTACTTTTACAAATTTTTGAACTTTAAATGTAAATATCTCGAAAACTATAAGTCTGAGAAGAGTATACATTTTTTAATAGTGGGGACCTCGTCTATACAACTGTACCATCAAATCGTGGCGGCAAAAGCATTGTGTTGACAATCCTTGCCCATATGCATATAAATATTGTAATATTTAATCTCTATGTTTGTTTTACAGGTGAATGTTTCATTTCCATTTCTCTTTAAATTGTCACGAACTTCATATTATATACATTATTCTAACTGTAAAACTTCTGCTTACTTGTTTGTGCAATTTGTATATTTGCTATTTCTCCTTATTCGCATAAGCATAAGCAGGTAACGCAAGCTACAATTAGTTATCTGGGCTTATTTGTTGTTTGTAAGCTGCAATATGTGTTCCCTCTATCCTAGCTTTGCTGATCTGCATGGTAAATGCAAGTGCCCTTGTGCATATATGCCACTGCACAACGTGTTTGAGCTTATTCATCGATCAGCCGGGAAAGTGGAAGGACATACTGCGGTAAGTAGTAATCAATAATGTAATAATTTATAAATGCCTATTGCCTTACATATGTTATTTAGAAATAAACCATTTGGAACCATTTAAACATTGCTCCATTTGAAGCTACTTTGGAAACCAAACCAAATGCGTTAAACTCGCCCCACTTGATCGATGACATATCTTTATTTCGCATTCCAATTGTTTGCCTATTTGGTTTGTGAAATTTCAAGATTCGATGGGTTACCTCGCCGCCAAACTTCAGTGAATTTACCAAATATGGACAGCGGTGCTTCTACGTCATCAGCATCAAAACCCAGCCAGGGTAGCAGTGCAACAGCTACCGTCAATATAGCCAGTGATTTACCAGCCGTCCCTACAGCTACTGGAGCCACCACTCGAACATCATCAGCCGCTGCCATTGCGCGTCAGGAAAACGTTATTGCGGCTCTCCAAAAACGAATAGCTATGCTTGAGATCAGTTTATCGGCTTCTCAACCCCATTCACGTGGTGAAACGCATGGGTTCATCCAACAATAATGTTGCCGCCGAACTTCCGTCGACGATAGCAACACAATTGCCAGAATCGCAGCAGCTAGATATTGCCAACTGTACAGTACCGTTGTCGGAACCTACCGATATCCGTTACACGCCGCCGTTACTTGCAGCAAATACCGTTGCTATAAACCACATGAACAGTTCAACTAATTTTACACCTTCGATCCATTCTAACTTGACAACAATGCCTACATTTGTTAATACAAGTGCTACATCTACACAGTCATCGAATTTGCCGAGAAAATTGCAGGAATTGCCCGATTTTTGTGTAAAGCCAGAAGATTGGCCAATATTTTATACGGCTTACATAGAGTCAATGGCAATTTATGGATACAGCAACTACGAGAATAATCAACGTTTATTAAAGTGCCTGAAAGGTTACGCACGTGAAGCGGTCAAGTCATTGCTAATCCACCCGGACAATTTCGGTAATATAATTGATTTATTAAAGTTTAGATTTGGGCGCCCTGAGCAGTTGATCCGCAGCCAGCTGTGTCAAGTGAAAGAAATCGCACCTATTTCGGAAGATGCCATGATGAAAATAATACCATTTGCAACGAAGGTATGTAATATTTGTGTATTTTTACAATCTGCTCATGGTGGTGAATTGCATTTGTCAAATCCTACATTACTGGACGAACTTGTCTCAAAATTGCCTTTAAGCAAACGTGTCGAATGGGCCAGCTTTGCAGCTCTTATGCAGCCACATGCAAAAATAAAACATTTTAGTGATTGGCTATCAAAATTAGCTAATATAATTTGTACGGTTTGTGAAGACCCTTACAAAGATTCGAAGTGCCGCATGGTTCTACATACAATTGAGCCACGCCGATCAGTGAGATGTCCAATTTTTCAGGAGCAACACAATGTAGCAGGGTGTGCGCGTTTTGTAGAATATTCAGTGCGGAGAAGATGGGCAGAGGTGAAACGACGTCGTTTGTGTTTTGCTTGTCTCAATTTAGGCCACTGTACAAGCAATTGTCATCGACGCAGGTTATGCTCCATTGATGGTTGCCGGAGAGTGCATCATAAACTCTTACATGAATTCACGGAGAACGTTTCCAATTCGTCAGGACAGTCAACTCCTACTTTCTCCGCTGTGAATATACAAGGTAATCGTAAGCCTACATCACCAATTCGTTCACTCAACAGCCAACAGACATCACTAGAAGCAAGATCAGCAGTTCTGAGTTGCAGTTCCACTGAAAGCAAGCTCCTCTTCCGTATTTTACCAGTTACCGTATACGGAAATCACAGACGTGTTGATACATACGCACTGCTGGACGAAGGTTCATCCATCACGATGATTGACCGTGCCCTTGTTCGGGACTTGGGAATGCATGGAAGTGAGCAATCTTTAAATGTACAGTGGTTTGGAGGACGTGTAGCGCAGGAATCAACGTTTGTAGTGGAATTATTCATCAGTGGCGCCGGTATGCAGAAACAACACAAACTCCGTAACGTGTATGCACGTAAAGCCAACCGGTACAACCTTACGCCCAAGTCAGGCCCAAGCTGTTAATTGGCCTTGACCACTGCCATTTGGGATTACCATCGACGACTGTGAGGGTAAAGGAGCACGGACCATTCGTTGCTAATACCGAGTTGGGTTGGGTTGTATTCGGCCCAACATCTTCTACACAACCATCCCCAGTAACTTGTTTATGCGTGAATAATCAAGCTGATCAGAAACTTCACAATATGGTATCTAACTTTTTCGAAATTGAGAGTTTTGGTGTTAGAGCTGCACCGCCCATAGAGAGTGAGGAGGACATCCGTGCCAGAGATGTTTTGAAGTCTACCACATGCCGCGTAGACGGACGTTTTAAAACGGGTCTTATGTGGAAAAGTGACAAAGTTAATTTACCTGATATATGGCGTTGAAGCGATTAATCAGTGTAGAGCGAAGGATGAGTCGTGATGCAAATTTTGCCGCCGAATACAAGAACATCATGGACTCTTACGTCACAAAGAAGTACGCACGAAAACTGCCGCCAGCAGAAGCTGCTGTGTATACACCAACAACTTGGTATTTACCACACTTTGCCGTTGCTAATCCCCACAAACCCGGAAAACTACGTATGGTTTTCGACGCCGCTGCTCAGGTAGGTGGAATCTCCCTCAATTCACAGCTCTTGAAGGGTCCACAAGAATATCGCCCATTGCCGTCGATATTGTYTCGTTTTCGTGAGGGCGCAGTTGCCGTATGTGGAGACATCAAAGAGATATTCCATCAAGTCCTTATACGAGAAGATGACAGATGTGCACAGAGGTTCCTCTGGCGTGATGGTGATGCTACGCAACCACCGGATATTTACGAAATGTGTGTGATGACGTTTGCTGCTGCTTGTTCACCATGTGCTGCAAATTATGTAAAAAAAAGTTAACGCGCTGGAGCACCAAAATGAACACGGAACCGACGTGCAATAAAAGCAATATTGAATCACCACTATGTCGATGACTTCGTTGATAGCTTCGGTTCAGAAGAGGAAGCCATTTCCGTGTCAGAATAGGTGCGAGCGATTCATACGGATGCTGGGTTTGAGCTTCGCAATTTTACATCCAATTCTTCGAAGGTGTTAGCCGCGCTTGGTGGTACTGACGTTACACGATCGATTGGTAAGAGAGAAGGTTTCGTTGGTGAGAAGGTACTGGGCTTGTTTCGGCAGCCATCATCAGATTGTTTCGGCTTCAAACTGAAATTTCATAACGCCGCTGAAGCGGTGATAAATGGTCAGAGACGCCCTACTAAAAGAGAACTTCTAAGTATCGTCATGTCGATATTTGACCCACTAGGGTTTCTGAGCAATTTCGTCATTGGGGCCAAGTTACTTATGCGTGAGCTTTGGAAACACAATATCCATGGGAACGACCCATTACCAAACGACGAAAAACAACTACCCGAGATTGTCAAATATGCCATGCCTCGTTACTATTTCAGAAATGGGGCACCTCAAGTACTTCAACTTCACATATTTGTTGACGCTAGTGAAGATGCCTTCGCCGCCGTTGCTTATATTCGATCTCAATCTTTATCTGGTGAATTTAATGTTGCATTCATTTGTGCCAAGACAAAATGTGCGCCAATGAAAACTCTTACAGTGCCACGCCTCGAACTTCAGGCAGCGGTTTTGGGCACTCGCCTCATGCAGTGTATCCGCGACGAACATTCTCTAAACATCAAAGATTGTATCCTGTAGAGTGACTCAAAAACGGTCATCAAATGGATACAGAGTGAACATCGTCGTTACAAGCCTTTCGTTCAGCAAAGGATAGCCGAGATATTGGCTTCAGCAAGCATATCAAATTGGAGGTGGATACCCACTAAGCACAATGTAGCCGATGAAGCCACGCGAACAAATGATTGCACCAATTTTAATCCAACAGCACGATGGTCACGGGGGCCCCCGTTCTTACGACAGGACGAACAAGTTTGGCCTTCAGAAGTCGTAACAGTTTCTGGACCTGATGAACCTGATGAAGAGCTTCGGTCCAAATTTGCTTTAGTCATCGTAAGTTGTAATTTTATAGATTTTAAAAGATTTTCTTCCTTTCCCAGATTGGTGAGAACCGTTGCTTGGGTCTTACGCTTTGTCGACCATTGCCGTCGTCGTATACAGCCAAATCAATGTTATGGTTTAACAGCCCAAGAAGTAGACAATGCTAAACGCCTTTTATGCCGCATAGTACAACGCGAAGTGTATGCAGCCGAGTTGCTGTCCATTGAAAATGGTCACGACATTCCCCACGACAGTACACTGTTGCAACTCTCACCATATATAGACGAAAAAGGTGTTCTTCGAGTACAGGGACGCATCGACGCCGCCAGCTGAATTCCAATCAGCACACGACGTCCTATTATTCTACCGCCTGACCATGCCTTTTCAAAATTATTGGTGTTACATCACCATAGCGCCATGTGCCACCAAAACATAGAAGCTACTATTGGTGACATCCGCCATAATTATTGGGTGCCACGACTAAGAAGTGTGTTGCGCAACGTCATTGCTAGTTGCGATGTATGCCGCTTGAGTAAAGCTACCAAGTCAGCGCCTTGGATGGGACCGCTTCCGTCGGACAGACTTACTCCTTACGAACGGCCGTTTAGCTACACTGGCTTGGACTACTTTGGCCCAGTCACTGTGACAGTTCGACGCAGTACCGAGAAAAGATGTGTTGCGCTCTTTACATGCCTTACAGTGAGAGCTGTGCACCTAGAATTGGCTCACGATTTGAGTACTGATTCCTGTATTATTGCCTTACGTAATTTTGTGAATAGACGTGGTGCGCCCATAAAAATTAGGTCTGACAATGGAAAGAATTTCGTTGGCGCCGACCGAGAAGCAAAGCGATTCGCAGAAGTGTTCGACTGCGGTCGCTTACAAAGTGAATTATCACAGAAAAACGTCCAGTGGGTGTTTAATTCCCCATTTAACCCTTCAGAAGGTGGCGAATGGAAGAGAATGGTACAGTGCGTCAAGCGAGTTCTACGTCACACTTTAAAGGAAGTTACACCAAGAGAGCATACTCTGACAAGTTTCCTGATTGAAGCTGAGGACGTCGTTAACTCTCGTCCACTGACGCATCTGCCTATCACTGCCGATCAAGAACAGYCTCTGACCCCTAACGATTTCATTCTGGGAGCAGACAACACGCCCCAGACTCCTATAGCAGACACTGACTTGGGAAATACTTGTATGCTACGCAAGCAGTGGCGCATCGCGCGTCAATTGAGGGATCATTTTTGGAAGAGGWGGATTACTGAGTATCTACCTACATTGACTMGCCGTGTSAAATGGTGMMGTAGAACGAAGCCATTGGAAGAAGGAGAGTTGGTGTTTATATGCGATCCTAACGTTCCACGACAAGAATGGTGCCGCGATAGAGTGGAAAAAGTATACCCTGGAACTGATGGCGAAGTACGACGAGCAGACGTACGAGCTTCGACAGGAATTAAACAACGAGCAGTCTCAAAGCTAGCCGTTCTGGACATTGATGGTGGTGAATCAGGTTGATTCACGCAGGTGGGGATGTGGCAACCCTTGCCCATATGAATATAATTATGTTAATATTCAATTTCTATGTTTATTTTACAGTTGAGTGTTTCATTTTCATCTCTCTTTAAATTGTCACGAACTTCATATTATATACATTATTCCAACTGTAAAGCTTCTGCTTACTTGTTTGTGCAATTTGTGTATTTGCTATTTCCCCTTCTATTGTTATTTAGAAATAAACCATTTGGAACCATTTAGACATTGCTCCATTTGAAGCTACTTTGGAAACCAAACCAAATGCGTTAAACTCGCCCCACTTGATCGATGACAGATTTAAAATACATCAGATTAAACTTTTTCTCAATACTGGAGTTATTCCGATACTTTTTTATGTTACACGTTGCGTATGCATTGTTATGAATCTCTGTGCGTTATTTGCGTATTTATGGATACGTTTTTATTAGAGAGAGATTTTTCTGAATTTTCTGCTCACATAAAACTCTTTCATAACATCTTGGTAGTTGAATTTAAAGCTTGTTGTGCTTTTATTGAGCAGTATCGAACTTTTATCAGATTTTACCATGACCGTTGTATGGCTTTGATGAAGTAGGAGATACATATATAAATTAAACGTATTAGAGGACGAGGCTATGTCCATTTTTTCAAAACTTTTTGCCACTGGTCGCTACTGCAATCCTCTGTCCCAAATTATAGGTTTATTTTTTATTCTAGTTAGTAGACGATCAGCAAACGACCTGTTTTCATACAAAGTTGAAATAACAAGCCGGTTAAACCTTCTACATTTGCCTGTTCGCATGGATTTTTGCAAAAAACTGATTTCAATGGACTAAGCAACTTGATAAATTGCCTGTTTATGTCTGATGAAGACCGTTTAGATCTAAACGGAAACGTAAACAAGCAAAAATTAAATATATGGAGTGAATAAAATCCAAAAATAATCCACGAGACTGAACTTCACCCAGAACGAGTCTCTGTGCGGTGCGCAGTTTCTTCAAAGCGTATTGTCGGGCCACATTTTTTTGAAGAAAATGGTGTAACAATGGGCAGCGTTATTTAAAGATGAATGAGTTACCTTAACCAGAACTTCGCCAAAGACGGATCCCTTTAAATAGCGTTTGGTTCCAGCATGATAGGATATGGAGCTCCAACCAAAATTTTAAAACAAATTAATATCAATAATCTCCACTTCCTTTGGCCCCCAAGGCCACCTAAACTGACCGGTTTTTTTTATAGGGTTATGTAAAGCAAGAGATGCGCAAAACACAACAGAGAAATCTGACTGAATTGAAGCAGTTCACTAAATGGATGACTGAAACAATCTCGACTTCAACCTTTCAGGCCGTAATCAATAATTATCTAATTAAGTGTCGCAAGTTCGTTTGTGAGCTTGGTGGTTATTTAGGCTCATTATTTTTAAAAATAATTGATAATATAAAATGAAATAAAATTTGCTAGACAAAAAAACATAATCATAATGTAATACGTTGATTAAAAAAAGCTATTACGGGTTATTTTTATACTCTCGCAACAAAGTTTCTAAGGCGAGGCCTACAAAATAGCGAAAACCGAAAACCTATAAAGTGTCATAACTAAGCCTTAAATTAAGATATTAAGTGAAATTTGGCACAAAGGATCGCATTAAGGAGGGACATATTTGGACGTAATTTTTTGGAAAAGAGGGCCTGACCCGCCCCCTACTAAGTTTTTTGTAAATATCTCTGAAACTACTACAGCTATGTCAACCAAACTCTATAGAGTCGTTTCCTTCAGGTATTTCCATATACAGTTCAAAAATGGAAGAAATCGGATAATAACCACGCCCACCTCCCRTACAAAGGTTATGTTGAAAATCACTAAAAGTGCGTTAACCGACTAACAAAAMACGTCAGAAACACTAAATTTTACGGAAGAAATGGCAGAAGGAAGCTGCACCCAGGCATTTTTATAAATTGAAAATGGGCGTGGCGGCGCCCACTTATGGACCAAAAACTATATCTCATTAACTACTTGACTGATTTCAATGAAATTCGGTATATAATATTCTCTGATGACATGTACGAAATGTGGGTGAAATCGGTTCACAACCAAGCCTTCTTCCAATATAACGCTATTTTGAATTCCATCTGATGCCTTCTCTGTATAATATATACATTAGGAACCAATGATGATAGCGGAATAAAACTTCACACAATTACGGTATTTGAGTTGAGGTATCCCTTGTGGAAAAATTGTCGTGATCGGCCTATAAATTTTCAATACAATTAAAATAAATGAAAATTCAATTCAATACTCAAAGTACACAAATTGATCTAATCTAATTAATTTTACAGCAAAATAAAAAAAAACATGTAAATGACGGATAATGAAATCTCGCTTATCACTTTATCATGCGAGAGTATAAAATGCTCGGTGACACCCGAACTTAGCTCTTCTTTACTTGTTAAAGCTCGATTCGTGCGCTACCACACGACTACATGCAGTTTTCTCTTTTTAAATCTTTTTTATACTCTTTCAACATGTTGCCACAGAGGATAACAGTTTTGTTCACCTAAAAATGCTATGTATCATCTAAAACTAATCGAGATATTTATAGGGTTATATTTATATACATATATAGATGTAAATGATCTGGACGATGAGATTAGGTGAATTTCGGTTGACTGTCTATCTGTCCGTCCGTGCAAGCAGTAACTTGTGTAAAAATTTAAATATCTTGATGAAACTTGGTATGTGCGTTCCTTGGCAAAAGGCAAAACTACTCAGCCTAGATTAATCGGAAAACTATCACGCCCCAAAACGCTAAGAGTTTCTAACGACAGAGTGAAAATAGATGAAGTCGGATGGGCTTATCACGCGAGCTCACGCCCGTTATAACTGCAAAAACTAATGAATACGCCAGAGGCATTAAAGTTTTCACCCGATATGATATGAGAGAACTTTTAAGTAGCCGGTCTTAAAAGTGGACGATGGGTGTCTTTTTTTAGCAGAAATAACATATCTCGAGATAGTTCGACCGATTTAAACCATATTCGGTATTTCGAAATTTTCATGTTAGAGTGTGAAAACCAGCTAAAGTTTTGAAGCCCCTAGGTACTGAATATCTGAACCTAGTGCTTATGGTTGACTTTTTAATAAAAATATCGGTAAATGTATGAGATACATAATTGATATTTATTTAGAAATAATCCTTTCTTACGTTCGTGTGTTACAAATGGGTTGTATACGGGTAAATTTTTCCCTTTATCCATATACATATAACTATGTAGCATAAAATGCTTTCCTCGTAATAATTTTTTCAAGTTGTAAGAGTATGAAATGTTCGGTTATATTCGAACTTAGCTCGTTGTACTTGAGTTAGGTAACAAGTAAAGTTTAACAGTGAAATGTACCAAATGTTCAAAAGGATTCAAATTAGCTGATTCTTTCTTTCTACACCTTAAGTTGAATTCGGAATTCTGAAGGACTCACACCCCAATAATTTCAGTATCTGCAGTATATCGTCTTTTATTTCTGTTAATACGTTTTTAATAAATATGGTATTTTTTATCAAAAATATCAGTATTAGGTTTTAATTTTAAAATAGCACTAAGTTAACAATTATGATAATATTCTAACTTTTTCGATCGATTTGGTCTGTATACTTAAAACCATTAGATGGGTGGCGCTGCAGTTGTTGATATTGTGACGGTAGGGACTACCGCAGCTGATCCATGTTAGTTTCTGTTGCTGCTACTATTGAGGTAACAGCGACAATGTCTTCTGACGATTTCGTACGTTTAAGTACAGTATGACACGATTTCTGTCGATGCGCTGACATTCGAGAAGGCGACACTACGCCACAACCGCGCAGAAGACATTGAAAATGCGTAAACTTCTTGTTGTATATACCTACTGATCACTGCCAAAGATGTATCCTTCAAACTCTCATATACCCCGTCACCAGTTCTTGCGTAATCTATATCAGGGCCACCTACACTCAAAGCTGCACAATACTGGGTACTGTTCCCTGTACAGAACTCTGTTGATTGTATATAATCAAATTGCATTATGCAGACGATGATGTACCTCTACTTTATTAGACTCAGTGCAAATAAATGAGCATTTCAAACAATGAAAATGCGGCTTTTTACTTTTACCAAAGTTGGTGTTAGCAGACTCTTTATTCAGTTATTATTCACAGTTGCTAAAACCACACGGTTTATTACAGGGATATTGTTGAAAGTCTTCGCCCATTAATGTGATGAAGTGCACATGTCGTTCCGTGTGTTGCACCATTAGAGTTTTGTCACAAAAGCTAAAGTGACAATTGACACGATCGCAATGAAAGTGTGACTGTCGCTGACGGTAACCACAGTTCACAAAACCGCAATCCTCATTAAAGGCAAACTTTAGATAGCCGACGGGCTTGTTTATATTATCATTTGTTTGTAACGATGTAGGGAATAAGACACTACCGTCTTTAGCGCTTGTAGTGAGTACTATATTTGTGGAAGATGCGGTTGCCGTTTCAAAGTTTTTGTGCTTTCTTTGCTGAGTTATGTCCTTTCCAAGTCCAATTATATGGCGCAGTTTCTGTTGGGCGATTCCTGCGGTAGTCAAATCTGTAATAGCTGTCAGTCCGTCAGTCATCGTTGATGTAGGCCTTCTGTCGTTATGCTGTCGGGTAACAATAGCAGGACCGGTCGTTGGTATTTGCATTGGTGATGATGGTCGTGGTTGGAATTTGTTTGACGCAGCCAACAAAAAAGACAAAAAGGGCAAAATGTTATTGTCGGCTTGTGTTACAGAAGTACTGGTAATGACGGGTGAATGTTGATCTTTTAGCTGAGTATACATTTTAAAACTCTGTTGATTTGGTATATGGTAAAGATTTAACAGGTGGTTCAGTTGCAAACCAATTGCTTCTTTATCCCGCCAACCGAGTTCAATGCCAAAAACATTTCTATTTGCTGCTTCTCCTGGTGTTATCGCTTTACTTTCTATAGCTGTTCCGGCTGGACGACTGGAATCATCGGCTAAAACATTGGTATCGGTATGACTGCACACTGTTGAAGCAGAGTTTTTGCGCATACTTAAATCTTGGGGCAAAATAAACTCATTACCTCCTATGGATTTTGCTATGGACTCGTATGGCATATTTTTATTGGCAGTTTCTAAGCGTTTGCGTTTACAACTCACGTTCCGCGTACTGCAAATACCTGGTTTTGTTGTTGCTCCGTCAAAGCAGTTTTCATGATGTGGTTTGTTTTCGCTCGGATAACCAGAAATTTCGTTGCATCCTGGAAAGAAGGTGCCAACAGTGCGAACAACTGGAGAATACAATGTTAATATTATAACTTTTATTAAATTATAAACATTAGAGACCTAAATTTTTATTTGGATGTGTATGTATAATTCATGTTTTAAATAGCGTTTCGAAATAAGTGCCCCCAAAACCTGATGGAACATTTGTACATATTATAACAAATTTATCGATAAATCGTCTACCTTTTAACTCAGTTCTAAGTTACATCACTGGATTGTTAAATAAAATTCCCAATTTACTCGCTATACACAAACAGCTTAATGCTTACTACTCGTTATTCGAGTACACAACTTCTAGCTTATGCGCTTTAATCGTCCCAATTAGACATATTTGCGGTACCACAAATATCATTTATGTTTTTCATTTCGTTTTTAGGGATCCCGTTGTCCGTCCCTATATTATTGAAGTTAATTCGATCTATTTTCCAGGTACCCAATTCCCATCTCCTGAATTAATGCTGTTTCGGAACACTATATCTCGTCACCCACTTCTTGATGAATTGCTACTGGTTCAGCCACTTGAGTAGAAGCTGAGTATATTTGTGGCAATTTGCTCAAAATTTCCTTGACTATCACAGCAATTCTGTTACCTAATTTACTGGTATTACCGAATTGTACTGCTTCATCTGACCCTGACTTCTGGATCTCGGGTTTTTAGCTGCAATCCACTCACTACAATGGGAGATTCACTCCGTAACTGACTCCCGGTGCGACTTCAAATCTCCAGTGGGGATTGTCACCGTCGCTGAGCTTTAAGCGACCGGGGGGGGGGGGGGGGGGGGGGGGGGGGGGGGGGGGGGGGGGGGGGGGGGGGGGGGTCGGCAGGTCGCGGATAGCCGGTTAGTTGCGAAATAAGTGGAAACGAATAAGCAATCTCCGACGAGAAGCGGCGAGAGTGGAGGTTACGGTATAAAAGCCAGCAAGACCGTTGAAACTCCTGCGACAGTGGGTGAATCGACACCGCTCCTTTGAAGTACGTCTCTCCCGAAACATGCAAGGGCATGTTGTGCAATAAAAAAAATTCAGGCGTGACGGACCCAGCCAGCGATTTCTACGCTGACGAAATAGAGAGGGTGATGTGAGCTTGACTCTGCCGAGTATCAGTGGCGGCGCGTGTCAGTAAACAGCCACTTCGGTCCTTGGTCAGGAAGTGTGCATTGGGCATAGGAGTAGTAGCCTATGTTGCCCCGGGAGAGCGCCGGTCCGTACGTGTTTTCCGGGACCGGCAAAGCGAAGGACTGGCCTCAGGGAACTGGGGTAGGGGCATTGTCTTCGAGGGTATACCCGTTCCAGTCTATTATCAGGCTAGGAGGACCTCAAATGCGGAAATGCCCTTCAAGTGTGTACCGAGGATAGCCCGATCGCCTAATCAGACGCCCAAAGTAAATAAACCGGTGCGCGTGAAGTCATCACCACCGTTGTTAGTAGATAGCACAAATCAAGCCACGACACCCTGTGGACTACATCTCTGAACTAGGAAGTGCTATAAAAAGACTGACTGTAGCGATGCATCCACCGCAGCGGAAGACTGACCGTAAGCCACCCCCACGACCCGATGCTATAGTCATGGAGATATGTCCTACAGCGACATTCTAATGAAAGTGAGAAAAAAAGAAAATCTGCAGGAACTCGGGCAAAATGCTGGAACTCAAGGAAACACAAATGGAAAGCACGAGGGAATTAAAGTGTGAAATAAGCAAATGGTTTTGAGACCAGGCACAAATCAAAGCGCTTAACCACGAAATCATAGTAAAAATTCGGGACCTGGACGAAATCACAACCAAAGAGGACATTTCGGAAGCTATACGGAAGCAGATGAAAAAGCTAAATAATTTTGATGTGAGCGCGACAAAAAACCTCAGGGCGGGATATACGAGTACACAGGTAGCGGTAGTAAGCCTCCCTGCGCTGGAAGCAAGGATACTGCTAGATGAACGCTAAAAAAAACCTAATGTTAAAAGGTGTTTCAGGTACCTGGAATATGGGAATCTCGCAGCAGCATGTAACAATTCGGACGACAGGAGCAAATGATGTGGCGAAAAAGGACACTTCGCACAGACGTGCGACAAGACTCCCTCATGTGGTGCTTGCAAGAGCAGGGGAAGGGAGAACTTAAGCCACCAAACAGGTAGTAAAAGATGCCCTCTATATCAGGAAAGAAATTCAACAAATGAAAGTTATCCAGTTCAAACCTGAATCATTGCGAAACTGCCCAAGATTTGCTTCAATAAATCGTGGACGTAGCAATACTGTGCGAACAGTACAAAAACATAGACAACGCTACATGAGCCTCAGACGCCACCAGCAAAGCTGCCGTATGGTCATGTGAAGGCAAAGCTTTCCAGGAAAGCCACTATTAGGAAAGGCCTACTTCACACGAGCCAGGATTTATGGAATCAACTTTTATAGCTGCTACAAACCACCGAGTGTTCCACTAGACGCGTTTGAGAGGACACTGGACGATCTGGTACAGGAAATCCAAACAACTACGGATAACGTGATTGCAGTCGATTTTAACGCATGGGCTGTGAACTGGGGAAGTGCTAGTACGAACAAACGAGGACCACGCTCTTCTCAAAGACTTTTCGTCTTCGTTTGTTAGTAGCCCGTTGGTGCGATCAACTTGCTGGGAAGTGTCTGACCTTTATACGCATAGTGACCACCTAGCCATCATAATGGAGATCGGAAAATCCAGGAGGGGAATATATACGCACGCAAAGATGGTACAGGTAAAAGGATGGAAATCAGAAACGTTCGAAGAAGATCTCTTCCGATTTATGCTGGATGACAATATTGCAAATGTAGAAGATACAGAACGACAGGCCGAGATATTGGTGAGGCATCTCAGCAAAACATGCGACGCTGCAATGTGCAGGAAGAAACATGGCGCTAACGCTTACCGGCAGCCTGCATACTGGTGGAATAGTGCAATCGTCAACCTGAGAACTGATTGCAACAAAGCCAGGCGTTCCTGCCAGAGAAGATGGAGTTCACCAGAATGCGAAAACCTGCGCGAATGTTTTAAAAAGAAACGCCGTGAGCTCAAGAAAGCAAGTAAAAGAAGCAAACTCTCCTGCTTCAAAGAGCTCTGCGAAAATGCGAATCTATAGGGCGATGCGTACAAAATAGTGATGACAAAACTCAAAGGCAGCAAAGGGAGAACACCAACCTGTTCCACCCAAAAAATCGTGGAACCCTTTTCTCTACGCAAAGGAACGAAGGACCTGTACTATCAAATATATCTACGGTCATAGACGCACCATCGGTCACCGACGATGAAGTGATAGATGCAGCCAAAATGTTTGGAAATACCAAAACACCGGGTCTATATGGAATCCTCAACAAAGCCCTAAAAACAGCTATAAATCAAAATGCAATCTCCTTTTCACAGTTCTTTACCCGCTGTTTGCAGGAAGGTGTCTTCCACCAATATGGAGGAAACAGCGATTAGTACTTCTGCAGAAACCAAATAAACCGGCCGGAGAACCAAGTTCGTACCGCCTTCTATGCATGCTGGACACGCTTGGAAAAATTTTGGAGAGAATAATATGCGTACGACTGGAGAAGCATCTGGAGCAATAATATCTAGGACTCGCCGAAAACTAATTTGGTTTTCGTAAGCACAGTTCAACCATCCATGCGATCACAAAAGTGGCAAATGTGGCAATCAAGGCCATCGAAGGAACGAGGTGGAATTATGGTGTGAAAGAATACTGCGCAGTCGTAACGTTTTACGTTAAAAACGTCGAGCGCTCTCGAATGCAAAAGAACACCGAAGTATTTGCTGAGAATTATCTCCAAATACCTGTCGAATAGGATGTTGCTCTATGAGGCTTAATGCACTAAGAGTTATTTGTGGACTCCGCACGGTGTCGCACGAGGCGGCTAGAGTGATAGCGGGCATCATACCACCGAACATAATGGCATTAGAGATCAAAAGAGTATACGAAAAATCAAGAATCTGATTCTGATTACTACCTGACGCGATTCCTGACAGGACACATCGGGAGTACCTCCATAAATACGGTCGCGATAGCGGAACAGAATATTCACGCGCAGCTGACTGCCAACAACCAACCCAATAAAATCTTTGGTTTCCTTTCTTCAAGTTTTAAGTGATTCCCATGTGTCCTCCACTTGGCCCGTATGCAATTCTTTGAGAATTTCAGAAATTCTCACTTTCGGAACAGTCATCAGATCTTATGGGCTTTGCCTATCTTCGCTTTCTCATATGCGATGCAAATCCAGTTCGGGTTTTTCACATTTAAAATGTGGATCATCTTACTGTAATTTTCGTAGTTTCTCAGCATCTCATTAGGAAGTTATTGTCATTAATCGTGTATCTATAACTTCCTCTTTGGCTGAACATCGTATCCGCATTTCTATGACTACTACTTTTTCGATGTTCTAAAGAGATTCGAAGCTTTGGAATCTCTCAATTAATCGTGCCAACTGTGGTTCTTGGTTCCTGAATTGTAGAAACCATTTAAATGCTGCACCTTGACCTTGACTAGAAAAGGCTGACCATACTGGGTACTTATTAATATGTTTGATTCACTTCACCAATGCCAGTAACTCCCTCCGAGTTGCTCAACAACTTCTCGCTGGCTTGCTCTTTTTTTGACTATAATATGGTACCACTTTTTCGTACCCGTCAAAGATTTGTGTAAGAACGTCCCCTAGTGCTTATGGGGTATCCCATACCAAATCGACCACTTTTGAACCCGACCCCTTTAGATTTTGCTGGAACTTATCCATCCTTTTCTACCCTTTGATTGCTGAAACAAAAATTTAAAAAAAAGGTCCCCAAAAGTCAATTTCTGCAAAAGTTATGGCTACTCGAAAATAAAAAAACCATTTTTTGAAAAATTCATAACTTTTTTCAAGTAGGACAAAAAATTTTGAAAAAATTCTCAAAACTATTTTTCAAAGGGTTGAAAAAGATGGATGGATAAATTTCAGCAAAATCTAAAGTGGTCGGGATACCAAAAGTGGCCGATTTGGTATGGAATACCAAATTGTAACTGTGTCATTAAAAGATGGAGGTTGTGCCTTGACAGACGCTGTGGATTTATTTGTAACGCGAGGCGACGTTTGTTTTTTTTAATACATCTTTCAACTGTGAGGAAGCCTGTGCTTATATTCGTGCGTCTTGTGATGCCAACTGTGTTGACAGCCACTCATGTAACGGCGCCAGCATTTGTGATGACGCAAAATTTTGAGTTCACTTGCGTCATTATTTGTGTAGCCATTTGCGGTGACTTCTGCGACATTGCAGGCAAAATCATGTTTATTTTTAGTTCCCAAAGCCCTTTGTCCCAGCTCTTTTTTTAGTTGCGGAATCTTCAGATCGTTAAATTTGGCTATTTTGGAGTTTTATTTCTCTTTGGGAATTTATCTGTCATCTTCTGACATCAATGGTAACGAATTTTTCGATAAATCGTCTACCTCTTAAGTTAATCTTCAGTTCAATCACTGGATTGTCAATTAAATCCGAATTAACTGGCTAAACTCTTTATTTTACTTTAAAAAACTTAACGCTTATGACTCGTTACTTTAGTTTGCAACTTCTTCTTATATGCACTCTAATTAGAAATGTCAATGTTGCCCAATCCGGCAGCCCTTAAAAACTAGATCGTTAACAAAACTTCTCCCTTCGAACGCTGTCTAGTTAATAATGTCAATTTATCGTCAACGATTCTATTTTGTTCTCGTATCGGTGAACGTCACAATATTAAATTATAAATTCTGTGTTGCTCATACGACATTTTTCCATTTCGACTACCAGAACAGTCCACTAGAGGAATCGAAAGTGCTGAATACAACACTTATGAATATAAATATTGAATTGAAATGTCTTTTAATATATATTTACCCGAAATTTTTTTCAAGGTTTTTGATTTTGTGTCTGCATAGTCCTGCGGCTTATCTCTGATGCTTAGTACGTTAACGAACCCATTATCTTTCAATTGCTGTACAGATTTATATAAAGAAAATAGAAAACAAATATTTTTCAAATAAACACATCAAACTTATACAAGAAACTTATTGTACAACGTAATTATTAGAAAATATCATCGCCACCTCCTTAGTACATTGCACAGTGGTCGGTCTTGTATGAAATCAGCAGCCAAAAATACTTCCACTGCCTATATTATAGTTAAATTTTTTCCTAAGCTTTTTAAAATCATAACAAGTAATTAACAACTATATTAGCATAAATAAACCGCTCCAAAGCCCTATCTGGTTTCAAATTTCGCCACCCGCCGATGATAATAATAAAAAAGTTGATTAACAAAAAACGAATTATTTGAATTTTATTCAACTAAATCAAAAACTGATTTTAATAAAATTGATTTCCTTTTACATCGTAGTTTTCTTTGCCCAGAGATGAAAGGATCTGAGCTCAAGAGTAATCGGTTTAATAAATCCTGATTTGTAGCGACACGTGAGTTCTTTCGTGTATGATGGAGTCGATACATCCTAACGTCCTTACTCCTTGAATCAGCAGCTTCTTCTGAGAGCTCTCCAATTGAAACTAATGCTTATTGAATAACATCGGGAGCGTGAATTAAAATTTTATGGACTGACGCAGGAATATAATACCAGGAATTTTGATGTTAATTCTCTTGCAGTATCTAGCGCAAATTTCCTAAATTTTTCCACATTAGTTTTGCACCCTGATGATAAAACTTGTAGTAATACTGCACAATTTTCAATTAATACTTTTTCTATGCCTGTTATTTCAGCAGATGTATGGGCATCGCTGAAAATTTTTCTAGCACTATTCCCATCGTTTGAAGATCCACTACCACCTGTTTTTGGTTTGTCGACTACAAGACCCATTTTTTCATGAAACTCACACTGGATGTTTTTTTTTCCTTCTTAGAAATCGTTCTTTCTCTTCTAAACCCCTTATTTGCCATTGTCTGATTTCAAGCCTATAAAAAACGTGAAGGAAATATTCAAAAAATCGAATGTAGGCATGTAATGGAGACAATCCAAATTCGTAGCGATCTGTTCGTACTTCTTTTTTCAAGCATTTGTCAATATCGTTCATCTCAGTAGGTTTGGCCGAGCATATATAGCGTTTTGCAGATGAGGTTTCAGTTAAGGCATTGCACACTTTGCCATCCACCATTGCAAGTTGAAGAATGTGATCGATATAAAATTTACGATTGGTCGCTGTTTTGAACTCAGTGGGACTTAATTGTTGAATTTTGTTTTTAAAATATAATTCTTCATTTAGGGTTAATTGAACTGATTCCTTTTGAAACTGAATTCGAACAGGACGGCAATAGCGAGTGGATGAAGGTCGGGGGTTTTTCCAAATTAGTTTGTGCTCCTCATCATTTTGCGATTTTATTATCAAATAAATTACTGTCTTCCAAATTATTATTTTCGAATTTTTGCTTATATTCGCTCTGGCCAGAACTGCCATCAAGGCCCCATTTTCCTATTAATGTTAGGTAATTAGCGGAGTCATTGAGTTCATTAATTACATCGCTTTGTAACTCTAAAATTCGCGACGCAGTGTGATCCAATAAGTTTTGTAACTCAACTTCAGCGTAAGCTTCTGAAACTTTTATTTGCTCAGGATAACTTTTGTGTTTTTCCTTTAAAATATTATCATAGCAAGGTAAAAAGTTAACATCAAGTTTATTGTTAACGAAGCTTCTAATAATTTGATACTGGTGCTTAGTTAAATTTGCTTCGGTGATAAGTGATATTACGTCACATGTCGTTGCGCGAAAGATCGACTTATTCGATTCCCTACAAGCCAAACGCAAATAATCAGCAGCGGACACATCGAGTTCTGCTAAATCTGCTATCCTTCGCCGCTTCGTTCTCTCTGAGCACTCTACCAGACTTAATCTAGGACGCCCTCGATCTTGACACAATACGGATGATTGTCGTCTTAATAGTATATATTTATATTGTGCAAACCAATTCGAATGTTTTTGTATAACTTTTGATTTTAATCTGTGGTTTTTATTCCACATTTCTGCAAATCTTTTAAATACGTAATCAA